CCCTGGGGGGGGCTGAGCGGCGCTGGGGCGGGCGCTGGAGCCGGGGCTGGGTGCCGCGGGAGGGAGCGGCACGGTGGGGTCCGGGGGGATGGCGAGGGGGGGGCTGAGGTGGGTCGGGGGATGCGGCTGTGCCCGGAGCGCAGTTGGGATGGAGTTTGGGGAGTTTGGAGGTGAGAAGAGAGCGGTGGCTGGAGGAAGCGGTTGGGTGGCAGCGGGGCGTGGGTGGGTGACAGCGGGGGGATGATGGCCTTCGGTCGGAAATGGTACTTGGGTGGTGAGACACTGGCACAGGTTGCCCAGGGAAGTTGTGGCTGTCCCATCCCTGGAGACGTTCAAGGCCGGGTTGGATGCAGCTCTGAGCAACCTGGTCTAGTGGAAGGTGTCCCTGCCCACAGCAGAGGGGTTGGAACGAGATGATCTTAAAGGTTCCTTTCCAACCCAAACCACTCTGTGATTCTGTGAAATGGTGTGCAGGAATGAGGAACAGCATTTCACAGAGCTGCTCCCGCAGAGATGACACTGACTTTGTTGTGGTCATGTCCTGTCTGACTTGGTGTGGTGATGTCTGTTATTTGGTTAGTGACATACATCCACTTGGTTTTAAGAGGAAAAGGGATGAGAAACTGCTGGACTTTCAAAAGTACTATTTTAGACCAGGAATCAGATTTGAGTCCGTGCAGCTTATAGTTAAATCATAACCACAGGGTGAGTCTGTAACACGTTGCTGTTACTTGGTTACTAACCATACATCCTGTGGGCATAAATATAGCACTGGCGTTTCTGTTAACATGATGGCAGAACAGTGGATTGAGGTGGGAGGCAGCTCTGATGTTGCTAAATTCATCAGTTGTGATGATGATACAAGTTTCTCGGTATAAATGTATATGTGCAGTTGTGGTAATACCCCCTAAACATTAAGGGGTTCCACTTCTGCACCTACACCGAGGATCAAATGGGATTGCTATCAAATGAGATGTAACTTTAGTGCTCTTAAGTAAAAATACTGGGGATTTTTTTGAATCAGTATCTCTTCACCACTATCACCTTAATGTTCTTTACATAAAAAGACAAAGCCCAAAATGTTCAATTCTACCCAAAGCAGAACTTCTTTCTTTCTTAGACACCAAAACACAATGTATTCATTGCTATATATTATTAACCTGGTACTTAAGAGCATCAGGATGATGCACAGGCAGATTTAGCTGCATGCAGAGCCTGGTCATTACAGCCCCTGGTGCTTGCAGAAGAGGTGTGTTCCAAAAATAAATTCCTTGCATTGGAAGGACAAATATGCATTGCATATTTTTTCTGAGATGTCAGATTGTTTAGAGGGTTTTGGATGATGTGTTCTGCCCTTTTGATCAGGTGAAGCTGGAGGTTTGCCATGGAGAAGCCAGAACCTTACACAGCAAGGAAAAGTGGGCAGTCTAGATTTGGTAGAGCTGTACAGTGTTTTCCAGGGTGCTGACAGGCAGAGGCATAGTTGGAAATAAGGATTGTATTTGGATTTTTATAAAAAGGTGTAGATAAAATTTATATGTAAAGGGAATATTGGAATTTAAAATTTAAAAAAGAGTCTAAATTTTAAATTACTATGCAAATTCTCAGGGTTGGTTAGAAAAAGTGCTGTTAACTGATTAAAAACATCAATCTGATGTTGTGGTGGTGTCATCTCTGGTTCTCAGGGTGGATCTGTGAATTCAGAACATAAATTTATCGTCAGTTCAGCTGAAGGAGGCACAGAGACTCACAAAAAGACCCTCATAAGCAAAGCTGGGAGGTGCTGAGATAGCTTATGCTCTGTGTGAAACCAATTTCCTCCAGTTATCCTGCTGGAGGGGGCTGGCAAGAGGACAATGGATCTCAAAAAATAAACGTGATTAGGTTAATTCAGAAGAAACTGCTTTAGATTTCCCTGCTGTGGCTGTGAATTACCCTGCAGCCCAATCCTGCAGATCAGCTGTCATACAGTAACTTTACACTCACAGGAAGCATTTTCCACTGTGCAAATCAAACCTTGAATACATAGTCCCTAAAGCACAAGGTGAGAGATCATCTCTGACTCACATATTTTATTAATACGAAGAACTGTGTGAGATTTTAGACCAAGTCTTTTCCCTGACTCTCAGTAGGAATTTCACAGCAACCCTGAGGCTGTGTTTGCTCAGGCAAATGGGCACCTGTGATTTATCACTGTGATGGCTTCATCTTAGCGTGGGTGCAAGTTGTAAAGTAAATAAGATTTACCCTCTAGATAACTTAGAGTTGTAAAGATTTCTAGTGTGCAGATGAGACTTGTGTGTGCCAAGTAAGGCATGTGTTGTACTGAATTCCTTCAGTTTTGCCCTGGCTAAAAGCATTATTGTCCTGTGGTTTAACATGGTTTTATTGCTGGGTGCTGCTTAGTGTCGTTGTATTCCTCTGCCAAAGATTTGTATGTCTTTGAAGGATGTTCAGTTGGCTGCTGAAATTTGAAGTGAAACAACACATTTTCATCAATTTAAAGTGGTCTGGTTTAGTTTGTTGAAGGATTTTGAGTCATTGTTTCAGAAATCTCATAAAGGAAAGGAACACATCTGATACAATCCTTTATTCACAGATCATAATTAATCCAGGGTAGCCTTAACAAGGCATTTGTCTTTTCTGGGAAACTAACTCTGCCCCCATGAACCACTTTTATTTACAATTAGCATTACTTAGCATGAATTTGAAATGTAGCTAAAAGATTTTCAGCTAAGGCTGATTCGACTGTGGGTTATGTAAAGCAAAACCTTCATGTTTTATGAAGTCTTGGCTGTCCCCACCATAAGAAGAATTTTGGTGGTCTGGTAATTGCAGCCACAGTGTGTTACAGTGCTCTGGGGCTCCTCATTCCTTTTGCTGTGAAGACAAGTGTCGTGCCAAGATGTGCCATATTTGTACATAGAGTAGATTTCTACATTAATTTCTTTTCTCTTTCTCTCTCTCTCTCTGTGTATATGTAGTTACAAGATAATGTAGTGATAGAACAAGGGGGAAGACAGTAGGGTTAGATTAGATATTAGTAAGAAATTCTTTACTGTGGGAGTGGTGAGGCCCTGGCACAGGTTGCCCAGAGAAGCTGTGGCTGCCCCATCCCTGGGAGTGTTCAAGGCCAGGTTGGATGGAGCTCTGAGCAACTTGGGATAGTGGAAGGTGTGTCCCTGCCCACAGCAGGAGAGTTGAAACTGGATGATCTTTAAGGTCCCTTCCAATTCAAACCATTCTGTGATTCTATTCTATGATTCTTTATATTTTGTTGAAGGTTGGTGACGTTCTCTTTCTGTTTTAGTCCATGAAGGCAGCCCTCTGGGGGAACTTCATCGCTGTGTCCGAGATGGTGTCAAAATCAACGTTCACATCCGCACTTTCAAAGGGCTTCGTGGAGTCTGCACAGGGTTTCTGGTTGCATTTGACAAATTCTGGAATATGGTAATTATTGTTCCAGCTCTTGATTTATAACTGTTATATTGAAAAGTTGAAATTTGCCAGGTTTAAGCAGACGACATTCCAAGAGGATTAATGTGGTATTGTGGTGCACAAACTAATTTGCTCTGGCACCGAGTGCTGGGTTTCAGATGTAAGTGGTGCTTGGTGTTGGGCTGGTCCATCTGGGAGGTGCCCAACCATTTTAGAGAGGGTTTAGATGAGAGAGAAGCTTTGAAGAGTTCCCAGCATCTTCAGAGAATTCATGATTGTGGAATATAAGGAATATCAGAAGCTTCCAAAGGTTTCTCTGCAAAACCCAATCTTTTTGTAGTGATTGTTGCTTCATTGTGTTCTTTCACTAACATCACTGGGCTGTCAGTGACAAAAGCTTTTCTGTGCTCTACCCCATGAACATCTTAAAGACAGTGGATGGAAAAGCAGCAATTAAATATTTGTGAGCCTGGAGCTGTGAAAAGTTTGGAAATGGGGAGGTGGGAAGGATTTTGCAGGCAAAGCTCAGAAAGGTTTTGCAAGTAATGCAGAATGGATGCAACGCTTTGCTGCTGCTTTTATACCTCAGTACCATTTAGATGATTAACAAACCAGCTCCAAAGCACAGTTTGTTCTTTGAAGAGATGGATTTTCTCTCAGATAGAACATAATTTCATTATGCTTTGACACAGAGCTGGTCCAAAGCTGCTTAATGTCTTCTTTTAATTTTGACCTTTCCGTTTCTTTTCTCTTCTTCCAGGCCCTGACAGATGTGGATGAGACTTACAGGAAACCAGTAATGGGCAAAGCTTTCTATGCAGAACCTCAGCTCACACTGACCCGAGTAGGTGACCATCTCCAGTTTTCTTTTTTTAATTAGTATCTCCTTTTTCAAAGTAGTGAAAGGGGAGCATTGATTGGAAAACTATATTTACATTTGAAATATTTTACCTCTTTTTATTACAGATGACTATAAAATGACTTGAACTGAGGGGAAAAAAATAACCCAAAATGTTTTCTGACCTTTTTGAAAGTACTTTGGCCGTAGTTCAGCACTCCTAAAGTTCCACTTTAGGGTCCCTATTATTCAGAACATAGTTGCTGCCACTGCTTAGTTCAGTATGCTCTCTGGTTTTGTTTTATTTGTTTTGTGTGCTTTTTGCACCTGTGACTGATCAGGTCCATGTTTGTCCTGCCAGGGAATGTGGCAGAGCATCCCTGTGGTACAGCTGTTCATGGAGCCACAGTCTGTGTCTGCAGCCAGTGAAACAACACGGCTGTTTGGTCTCTTAAGCTTCTAGCCTGGGTACTGTGGAGCCCAAGATTCTTGCTCCAAAGCAAGACACACTCTATAATCCAGCTGCAAACAGAGTTGTTTACCAAGTTGAGAACTGAAGAGATGATAAATGAACTTCTGAACAATGAAGGGAAAAAAAATGTGACAGGGCTGTGCCCATTGTATGGCAACAGCTCTGGACCTTTTTGAACATCAGAGAAGCATCACAAAAACATTTAAACAGTTTCATTGTGAGGAGTTTGCTTTCAAATTCCTGCCATTTAAATCCATTTTCTGATAGATCCCACCCTTCCTTTTTTAAAGATTAGTTAAAAATAATCAAGTTGTCATTGTTCCTTTAGCCCACTCTCACAGGGATTGGCTTTCCATCCTGTTGCTGGGACGAGACAGGCTAACCAAGAATCCTTCTCATTTGTCAGTGTTTCATAAAAGCTTGCCTGCTGCCAGAGTAAAAGCAGTTTCTTTCCCAGTTTCAGCACCATGTATTCTTAGATTAATGAGTTCATGCAGTGCTTTGGATCTGCTGCTGTAGCTTTTATTATTTTTCTGTTGTTTGTGATCTGCTCACCTCCCAGAATACCCACATGGCAACTTTTAGTTTGCTTTGGGGAACACAAAAGGTCCCTCATTTTTTCAGTGTGCACCCTTTGCTGATGGAGACCCCTTATCTTAGGCATTCATGACACAAGGATGTCTCTAACACTGACAACATTACAAGAGCACTGGGAAAATGAGCTCATGGAGCATCTTGATGTCTCTCTGTTGCTCTTGACCAAAGTTAAATGCTACCACGCAGCAGGGTTGCTCCCCAAATTAAATTCCTTGGTGCTCACATAAAGACACTCATGACCGTGCAAGAGATCCATTCACCTTGTGTCACTGTTTGACTTGGGTAAGAAAACATTGTCTTTATTGGTGGTGAATATTTTTCAGTGATTGTGTCTTGTGAGCTCTGATTTAGGATCATACAGACAAATACCATGTGTGGAACAAGCAGCCTCTCTTGTTTTATGAATGTGGTCATAGACACAAATGTCCTTTTACAGCTGTTTGACAGACTCAAACTTCAGGAGTCCTCGGGGAAGAAGGGAGCTGACTCAAAGACTGTCTCAGAGGAGCTGACCCTGACAAGTGACTCTCAGACACTGGGATCAAAAGTTGGGTCAGGACGAGGGAGAGCAGAAGAGGAGCATGAGAGGCAGAAACACTCGGGCAGAGCTGGAGAAAAGAAGACACCAGGTGACAGTTTGGTTGCCAGAGGTGAAGCTGATGTGGGCAGCAGGACTGCCCACACAGAGGGTGCCAGTGCTGGTGGCACCCGTGCACGAAGCCAGTCCCGGAGGAAAAGGCGGCCCAAAGTGGATTATCAACAGGTGTTCACACGGCACATAAACCAGATTTTTATTCGAGGAGAGAATGTCTTGCTTGTCCATTTAGCACATTGACTTGGCTGAGCTTTGGTCAGCATATTTGTTTGATAGCATGACTTGCTGCTGCAGCTCCCATTGCTATTTAAAGTTGTCATTGAGTTTGATGGTACCATGGCTGGTTTCCCATTGCCATAACAAGGTAGGGGAAATAATTGTAAGTAGGGCATCCTGAGCTTGATGCCAGAGCAGCTTCCTTAGATCCCTGTTGGGGGTTTCAGGACAAGGTCAGCAATGGAGTTGTTTCTGTGATATGAGGGAGGTAAGCACAGATCCTAGTGCTCCTTAAAAAGAAGCTAAATGGAGAGTGTTGGAAGAGAATTTTGGTGTAATCTGTTATAGGAGCTACTTGTGGCACATGTTTAAGGAGCTTAAGATCTCCACCTGCAAGGAATCAGAAATGCTCTTTTGCATGTTCTGAGAAATCTCAAGAGGAGATTGCTAATGAAACCAATAGTTTATCTGCTGCTGTTACATGGGTGTCCTCTTTTCCAGACATAATTCTGAGAGTCATTTTGAAACAGTTTGTAAAAAGATGGAGTGACATACTGCTGATGGCTATTACCCTGTGTGATAGAAAACCTCTTAATTGAAAACTGCTCGTCTAATGTGAGTGATGACAGGACTGTAATTTGTTTTCCATATCAAAGCTTGGGCTTCTCTTTGTAGTGCTGTGCTTTGGCCCTGTGTCACCAGCAAGCAGGTGATGTAGCTGATCCAGGGGCCTCCATATTTGGGGTTTTTCTGTGAATGCTGTGGATGCAGATGGAAAATTGTACTGTTACATTTCATCCATATACTACTTAGTGTAATAGTGAAGCTGGCAAAGGTGTAGGGTTTTTCTCAGATGTGTTTGTGCTGAGCACACTTGTACTGTATCTAAGAGCCTTTCAAGCTCTCTATCAAAACTAAACTAGAGGTGCTGTGTCTCCAGCAATTCCCATGGAGCAGAAGTCTTCATGGGTCTTCCCTGTCCATGTGAATGATGCATCATCTAATTCCAGCTGAACTGAGCTTCGGAGGTGTGGCTGAAAATGTTTTGAAGTATAAAAGTCAAAGTCAACTCATCAGTGTTTTATTTTAACAAGACTATTAAAGCCAGGGTTCTGCAGGTATAAACTAATTTCCAAGAGAGTCATGTAGAGAAGTTTCAGGGTAAATGAAGCTGTTACATTATCTAGTCTGTTTGCTTCATTGTCCAAGGACACTAGAATTCATGCTGCTATTCCTGTATTCATCTCAACTGCCTTGTGCTTTGCAGCAGCTCCATGTGTTTAGGATGAAGTTGGGAAATTGCTTTATATCAGGTCTTGTATTGCATATAGGGGTTATAAGTTCTCAAACTGAGTGACTGTTCTGTGGGTGACGTAGATGCAAATGCAGCATTCTGCTTGCTTGTCTTTAGGGGGATGTCTGGTGTTTGGGTGAATCACAGAAATCATTTAGCAGGAGTTCCTGGACACACAAAGCAGCTGGTTTTGCCTCTGGGGGAGCCTGAAGCTTCTGTCAACATTTCATGTGACAGGGGGCTTGGACAGCTGATGAGCTGAGCCAGTGAGCTGCAAACCCTAGTTCAGCCTGGGACAGAAGTGCTTTAATAAGAATAAAAAGTACTGTTGAGGCAAAACAGTTTCATCAAGAGCAAAAAAGAAAAGAAAAAGTGAAATACTATCTACAGCTTCTTATTATACATTGCTTTATTGTAATCCCTTCCCACTATGAACTGAGACCACTGAAAATATTCTTCTCTTAGAGGCTCTTGTTTCCTCTCCTGTACTGTTCTTGTTTGTGTTCCTGTGCTCTGCAGTTTTTCCCTTTTTTTCTTCCCCCTTTCTCCTGTCAGTACTTTGTCTCTTCAGGATATTCTAAACCCTGGTTTATTAAGACTGTTCTTGTATTCATCCCTAGTTGTTCTGGCTTTCTGAACCATTCTTGGTTGGCTTTTTGTGTGGTTCCCAACTAACCAGAACCCTCACAAATTACTAGAAACATGCAAAGCTAGAAACAAGGTGCTTATTTCTGCTCCTGACTTCCCAGCAGCTTTTATTGCAAGTGAATATTTTCTTCGTTCTGTTTTTGATTGTGGGGTTTTTTTCCCCCTCACTTTTCTGACAGTTTTGTTTTTATTTCAGCTGCTTAGGATGACTCCTCTCTACCTTTTCCATTCATGCCAGAGGCTGCTGGTTTTGACATCTCCTCTTTCCTTCATATTTGCCCAAAGGATGTCAGACTACCCTCAGGCCTGTGTACTACGACATCTAATTGAATTCTTGCTTTTCTTTACCTCATGTTCTTAATTCTATTTGTCTGCTTTGTATTGCCTTGTGCATTAAACAAGGTACAGCTGCCATGAATGTTCTTGTGGCTGTGCCACCCTCCTTCCTTGTTGATTGACACTTCCCCAAGTTCTCAGTTGCTACTGGAAGTCTCAGTGTTTCCTTTAATCAGAAGGTTTTCTCTGAAACCTTGCAGGTGTTTGTTGCTTCACATCTACAAGTTCCTTTGTTTGCATTTTATGAAAAATACTGGTGCTTAGACTTGCGTTTGTGCCTTGATTTTTGTATCATCCCTAACCTGTTCTTCCAGAATCATCACCTTGGTCAGCAAACCTGGTTAAAAACTATAGTTTGTCTACTTTTTTTGCACTACCTCATTACTAAAATGGTCCTCCTCTTATCTGTGAAGTTGGTTAAAATTCTCTCTTCCAATTTAGATTTTATGGTTTCTTTGTTGGTTCTTTGTTTGTTTCCAACTTTTCTGTCCACCTTTCTCCTTATTTCCAAGCTGCTTCCTAAATACAGCTGCCTTTTCTACAACTTCAGATCTTCCAAAATGTCTTCCTTTTCCCACTTTTTCTGGCATTAAAGCGCATTATTAAAACGGTACTTTATGGATTTTGTCTCTTTCAAGCATCATGATTGTGATTAAGCAAGTGATCCTGTATGTGTGCTGTCACTTGCATGTTTAAAACTTCAGATAATGTTGCTCTTTAAATAAAATTGAATGTCATGTTCTGAAATGCATTCTTCTACCTCACTTAAGTATTCACATAAATCTGTTCCAAAAAAAAAAAAAAAGAAAACAACCCTTGGAAACAAATGAGCTTTGGTTTTGGTTTTGTGTTGGTTTTTTTTCTGGGTTTTTCTGTCCATGTTTTTTTTTTCCAAACTCAGCATCAAATGTTTGTTCAAAAAGCTGTCTGCTCCCAGCCTTCCCTCTCTTGGTTGCAGTGTCACAAAGATGCTGTGAGCAAAGACACACCAAAGGAATGAGGAGTAGGAGCAGGAGGCAGTCCTAGGAGACAGAAAGATGTGTGAGAGCAAAAAAGGTTTGGGCAGATATGAAGAACCTCTGAAAAGGATCCACTGGTTCCCTGTCCCATATTTCTAGGACTTTGCTCATCCTGGTGCTTAGTGGTGTTTCCTAAAGTCTGTTTGTGGTGAGGTACTGAATTATAGGGAGCAGTTTTTTTTCAATAATTTTGAAGGAGTGTTGGGATAATTTGAGAAACTTTTCGGATAATTTCTAAAACAGCAGACAAGTCTGAAATTTGTGAAATGTGGCGATGCCAGGTGCAGAAATGATGTAATGCCATGGTCTTGGAACGTGATGTCACAGAGATATCTCATGGTGTCTTCGTGTATCTTTCCATTCCCAACACAGTCCAGCAGGGAGCCAAGTCTCAGTTTTAAGAGTGGCAGTTTTATTTGTACAGTGAAGTGGTTTTGCCCAGTTTTTACCTAACACTTCTTAACCAGGGCTGTGGTAGTAGAAGAGGTAAGGCTGAGGGAAAAAAGGAGCTTGTAAAAAAGTGTGGGTTTAGTTCCTTCTCTCAGCTGACTTGTCCAGCTTGTTAATTGCCTGGAAGTTTTTTCCCTGATCTAGAGAGGTACTTAGCATGTCCTCCCCAGGTGATTAATGAATTAATCAGTGAGTGCTGTTTTCCATCTGCTTCTTGTCCTTCAGTTTTTGGATTCGTTGTTTCTTCTGCAGCTTTCCCTCAGCAGGGCAAGATCTCACCAGGAATAAACCTGACTGCCTGCTGATTTTTCCCCCTCCCTAAGGAGTGTTAGCCCACCTAGTTTTGAATCCAGATAGCCTTTCCCTGTTCTTGATTTTCATGATGTTCTCTTCACACTTCTGGAATTATTTGGTCAGAAGAATTATTTGTCTTGGATAATAGTACTTTTGGAAGCAAACTGAAAAATTTTTGAAAAATAATTTTGTTACTTATTTTCCTTCCCACAGTGCTAGGTTTTCCTTGTTTGCTGTTGCAGCCACCCACTTGCACCTGTGAATCACTGTGGGTGAAGAGGTGTCCAGGAAAAGAGAGGCAGAGAAAAAAAGGTGTCTAATTTTTATTGAATTTGACATTCTGTCCAACATGCTGCCTACACTCACCCTTTCTGTTTCTCACTGCCGCTGACCTAAATGACACAGGTGGGGAAAATTACTTCATCCAGGGTCTTGAAGGAAAATGGAGAAGCAGCAGGGACAGCAAACTGAGTTTTTGAAGATGCTTATCTCCAGGTGAACTTCCCATCTCTGATTAAACAAATCAGTTATAACTACCAAATTACACTGCAAGCTCTGCCACTGGATGAAACTGGAAGGCACAGTATTGCACCTTTTCAGGGGTGATGCAGTGATTCCTTCAGCCAGGCAAGCTCTTCCCTGAGAAGCTGCTGAGGCATAGGCCAGTGTCTGCAGAGCATAACTGCAAAATACTGCCAATTACTATGAAGATTTTTGTCTCCTGCCTGCACAGCCAAGTGTAAAACAAATGCTGAGGTCTGCATCATCTGCAGCCCAGAACTATTTCAGTTCATGCTTTTGCTTCTTGACATTGGCTTAAAAATTCGAGGTGTGTACTATAGCAATCCTAAGACAGCCTTTGTTATAACATTATGAAAAGCTATTACTTACTAGAAATAGTATTGGAAAACTAGAGTATTACAGAATTTGTGGAATTCTTATTGTAATTAAGATATTGCAAACCAGGAAAGGCTGAGAGAATTGAGATTCTCTCAGCTGAGACAATTAGGGATGACCTAATTGCAGCCTTCCAGCACCTGAAGGGAGCCGACAAGAAGGATGGAGAGAGACTATTTACAAGAGTATGTAGTGACAGGACAAGGGGGAATGGCTTCAAATTGACAGAATAGGGGTAGATTACATATTGGGAAGAAATTCTTTACTGTGAAGGCAGTGAGACACTGGCACAAGTTGCCCAGAGCAGCTCTGGATGCCCCACCCCTGGAAGTGTTCAAGGCCAGATTGGATGGGGTTTGGGGAGACCTGCTCTAGTGAAAGGTGTCCCTGCCCATGGCAAGATGGAATGAGATGTTCTTTTAGGTCCCTTCCAACCCAAACCATTCTGTGATTCTGTGAAATGTGGAGAAAACTGTTATCCTTTGCTGCCGTCTTTTTTTACTTCTTAGTAGCAGAACAAACTAAGCCCTTTGGGAAAGGGTAGGCAAGGCAGTCTGATGGTCCTCCTCTGGGTAGGCACTGCAGGATTGGTGCACTTGAAGGAGACTTTTCTTGATGGAAAAAAAAAAAGGTGTGTAATTTCCTGTAAGTATAACACATACCTCTCTGTACATTATCCCAACTATAGCGTTTCATGGCATGCTGAACGTGGGAAAGCAGGCAAAGAAAGAGGAGTGAAGAGGAATTACTCGGTGATAACTCCTGGACATGGAAAGTGGCTTTCTAGCCTGTGGACTTGGGCACAGTCAGGCCAGCACTGGGCAGTTGTGCTCTGTAGGGGAAGGGGGGGATGCAGAGGCAGCCCTTGAGTGCAGCTTCCCTTGTGCTGTGAGCCTTTCACAGCACAGGAGCTGCCCCTGGAATATCTGCCAGACTCCATGGCTAAAAACTGACATGTTTGATCCCACCTTTAAAATTTTGCAGGGGAAACCCAGTGGGATAAAAAACAAGTAAGCAAATTTGCCCTGTTGAGGCAGAGATGGAGGAGACTTGGTTGTCCTTGTTGGCTTCCCAGGGGTGCAGGAGAAAGGACTACTTTAGTGGAGAAATAGTAGAGATGTTTGTCTGGCGACGTTTACAAGTCCTTTTAGATGTCACTAAGTGCTCTTGCTCTTAGCTGTTGGCAGGGAAGGCCTGTCAGGGAAGGAAAATGCCTTCTGATGTTCCTGGATAACTATCTTGTTAGCTTCTAGCTTCGTAGTGTACACTTGGATGACTTTGTTGAAAAAATTTAGTGCACCTGAGACTTTCAGTCAGCCTTGTATTTGTTTAGAACGAAAAACAGTTTGATCAGTTTGTGTGAAAACATATCCATCCTGTTTTCCTCTCAAAAGATCAGTGCTCTCCCTCAGGAAAGAAATGAAAGCTGCTCCCATAGCGATTGCTTCTGATTTTCACTACTTCAGAGCAAAGTGCAGCTGTGTCCTGTGTGTTCAGTGAGACACATCACTCTGAGAGGAGGAAATGAGTGAAGTGTTTGGTTTGCCTGAAACTAAAATGGGCATTAGGAGGGGAGCAGATGCACTGACCTCTTTTCAGATAGTGCACACATCCACTGTAGTTGGACAGATTGGAACTTGTTGACCAATCAGTCACCTATAGAGCTTCCTTAAGGAACCACAGAGGAGCAGCATGACCTGCCAGACTGACGTGGGATTGGGAGTCAGAGGCTGACAAATTCTTATCTCTCTGCTCCTCACTGTGGCCTTCACAAGTCACTTTGTTCCCTCTCCCTGACTCTCCACAGCTGCAACATATCTAAGAGCAATCCTTGCCTGTCTTGCAAGGATCTGGGGAGGTGGTAAGTGCAAAGTATTGTTATTAAAACTATCCCTGTCAGGTAATGCAGGTACATCCACCATCTGCCCTCTCCAGGCACGTGACTGTTAGACTCACACCTTGGCACATGAAACCTGTGCGGGGTATCAGGTACAACAATGCACTTCAGTCTTGAAATTACTGACGTCTTCAAGGACTTCAATATCTTCTTTCACAGCTGCAGTTCCATATTTGGGTCAGATGGTGATAAGTGAGAGTGTAACTTGTTTGTAATTCCTTCTCTCTCTTCCTAAATATTTTGTTTCTTAGGAAGCTGATGCTGCTATGAACATACTGAATAATACTGAATTTGCAATATCCTGCTTTCCAGATGTAAATGTTTATATTTAAAATTGCCACGACTGCAATGCAATAAATATATCCGTGTAACAGTTTGCCTCAAAGTGTGATTTTTTTGTGCTCTGCCAGGACACTTGTGTCAGTGATGGAGCTCCTACTGTGGTGGTGAGGACCACCAGGATGTGGAGACCACCAGGTTTGGATACAGCATTGCTATGTGGTCACATGGTTTGTGAACAAAACCCTCGTGTGTTCAAAAGCGTATTAATCCACAAATTAGGAATATAATTATACCTGTCTTGTAGAGGTGCAGAAGGGAAGTGAACTTCATGTTGAAGAACGTAACAACCATTGGCCTGATTCATGGCTGGGCTTCGCGAATGAAGATTTGGGAAGGGCTCAAAGGTCTATTTCCTTAGTGTGTGGTCTTCCACCACGCCACCAGGAGATGGTTTTTCAGGAATTGGGGAGGTCCAGAGCCAGCATCCAAGCATCTGCTCTGGTGTGTGCATAGCCAGTGGGGAAGCTGTCTTCCAGGAATCTTTCTATTCCCCAGGTAAGTGATGCTCATGTATTTAGATCAGGGATGTTTTTTTAGGAAGAAATTGTTCCCTGTGAGGGTGGTGAGGTCCTGGCACAGGTTGCCCAGAGAAACTGTGACTGCCCCATCCCTGGAAGTGTTCAAGGTTGGGTTGGCTGGGGCTTGGAGCAACCTGGGATAGTGGAAGGTGTCCCTGCCCATTGCAGGGGATTGGAATGAGATGATTTTAGCTCCCATCCAACCCAAACTGTTCTAGGATTCTGTGTTAACTCTATGGTTTAGCATTGGAGATGGTAACGTACCCATGCTCTGGAATTCTGATGTTTGCTAAAAGGAGTAATTCTCATTGCAATAGGAACTGTTCAAAGAACAAAATCTGCAGTTTAAAGCCAGGAGTGGCAATATGAGGATGCATGTAATGAGCAGGATCTGACAGAATTCACAGAAGAGGTCTGCAACCCATTGACTTTGATTTGCATTTGAAAGTGTTGTTTTACACTGGAAGTCTGCCTTGTCTTCCATGTGTGGGGTGTTTCCCTGATTTCTTCCAAGATCATTTACAGCCAATATGGCAGTAGACTCTTGGTCTTTTAGAGTCCAGCTGTAAAGGGATCATTCTGGGATACTCCTGGTTGTGCAGATCCTTGTAAAGGGTGGTTTGGGAGGGTGAATAGTTTTGTATAAAAATTCTCTCTGCCAATTGCCCAGAGGGTCAAAGCAAAAGGAGAACCCAGCCCGAGTGCTCCCTCTGGGGAATCCCATCCAGATGGGAAGTGGATGGGCACGAGGGTAAGGGGTGCTCCTGCTCTGTGCAGGGCCCCTGCTCCAGGGAACCCCATCCCAGGTGGGAGGTGGATGGGCACGGCAGGAGGTGGAGGGATCCTCCTGCTCTGAGCAGGAGCCCTGTTCTCTGGGAAAGAGGAGGGGATATCTTCAGGGTTCTGGATTTCTCCTTTCCATGGGCATTAAATGCTCCAGAAAGGTTGTCCAAAGACTCCCCTGCACGCTGCAGCCCTTCAGGCTGCTCTGTGTTCCACTGGGAATCTCGGACAGAGCCTCTCCCCAGGTCCAGGCAGCGCAGCCATGGAAGCGCCAGGCGGGGTCCTTACGAGCAGGAATCCGCTGATGCTCCCGTCGGGATACAGGTGAGATTCGGACACACCGGAGGTACCTCCAGCTGCTCATATTCCCGGGCCGACATTCCCGGGTTGACATTCCCTGGTTGACATTCCCGGGCCGACATTCCCAGAGCCCCGCCCGCTCCCGTTCCCGCTCGGGGCCGCCAGGGGGCAGCAGCGCGCAGGGAAACCCCGCGGCGGCGGCTCCGGGATCCCGGGAAAAGGGAGGAGATACCGGGACATCCCAAAAACCGCGCCCAGGGAACCGCTCCTGCGGGCACCGCGCTGGGACACGGGCAGTGTGTGTTTGGGGGTGTGCGCTCCCCCCGTCCGGCTGCTTCACAGGGCGCAGATCAGGTCATCGTGCGAGCAGTGATGTGTTTGCAGAGCATCGCCCCTCTCCTGACTGGCCAGATCAAGTTCCCCCCCAAAAAAAACCAGCTGTCCTGGAG